TATCCCGTGTTTGCTTTGCCTTCACCCCTTGTCTTCACAGGACCTTGCTCGGCAGGAAGCGCTTCGACGGGTGATCATCCGGGACGCTGACCGATCGCGCCAGCGGGAGGTCTCCGCCTTTTGGCGTTGGCGGCTGGCGACGGCGACAGGAGTTGTGACCGGCCTCCGCGCCCAATACGAGCGAGCGGCGCCGGAGCATGAGACAGACCGCGCCGCCGACCGCGAAGCCGCCCAAGAGCGACGAGAAGCGGCGGTGGGGGTGGTGACGGCAGTGGAGACAGCGAGACGCGAGATGGGCGAGACAACCCTCGACGAGACCCGTGAAGCGGCGGCCGCCGACCGGGCGGAGCAGCAAGCCCGCATGGAGGAGTTGGAAGCCCAGATACACTCGACGGAGGAGTCTCGGGGCGTTCTTGAGGAGCTGCAGCAGCAGCTGAAGAAAATCGAGGTGCGTGCGTGTTGGGTGCTATTTAGAGTGTTTGTTCGGCAGGGAGCTTGTTGTTGTTGTGGGGGGTGCAAGAACTGCTGTACAGTGCCGGGGCAGACCGAGTTGCACCGAGTGGCAGCATCTTACGCTTCAGTTGCAGGTGGGTTTGTTTGATTACTTTTATAGAATGAAGAACATACATTCTTTGTCCTTCTCCAAGGCGAAACATTAGTCTACTTAGTTTTTAGGGCGAGGTGTCACTATGCCTTTTTGGGGCCGCATTTCGCCCTTTATTTCTGTTCGTTGTACCTTGCTTGATCACTTGTTATATAACCCATGTTTGCTTTACCTGGACCCCTTGTCTTCACTAGACTGTGCTCGGCAGGACGCTGCTAGGGCGATGCAAAATACCGGTATTAGAAAAATTGTTTACCTCGATTTCGTCACCGTCTCATCTAGTCATGGCATTCGAAAGCGGCTTCGGGAACACAACCCTCACGAGCAACGAATTTGGTGGTTGAAAGCAGAACACTGCACTTGCAATGGTGAATTCCGTTTGTGTTTTACTTACATATACAAAACATGAAACACTATCCATCGCTGCGAAATGCGGATTATCCCCCATCTCGCCAGTGGTGGAGTCGCGAACCCGCTAGATAGACAACATCACCGAGAGCATCGCGCGACCAGCACACGCCGCGAGGAAAAGGGCGAGAGAGGAAGTAGGTCAATGTAGTTATTTAGCGCGCGGTCATCATGTCGTCAGGTATTTGTTTGGTGCGGTCATCATGTCGTCTCCCGGTGGTCTTGCCGCTTGTGCGACGTCCCAGCAAGGTCCCGTGTGTGCCGCAAAAATGGTGCGTCTAAGAATTTTATGCACCAGGTGAAAAACAACCGTACTACTTAGCCGCAACACTGCACATTCATGACTTTGCGCTTTCGAACCAAACATCAACCTCGGCGGCGCATACCGTGGTCGTGTTACAGGAGAAACTTGCGGATAAGGCCCGGGAGGACACCCAGCGCCACCTTCGGCAGAGGCAGCAGGTCCGACACCTCGTGAAGGAGGTAGAGGGCAAGCACAAGGAGGTGGGTCACGAACACGGTACGATATGACCTGCACAAATCTGTTTGTCGTCGCTGGTGTGTCTGGTCACGTTGCCAGTGACTTCATTTCATGTCTCCTGCCGTCACGTGTATCGATCATGCTCGACCGAGCTTGTCTTTGATATCTGCCTGCCTCATTCACAGGTAGCGGCGACGACGCGGGCGCTCACGGAGGCGAGGCGTGACAGGGGGTCTCTTCAAGTGGAGAGGGATGGCCTGAGGTGAGCAAAGCACGTGGGTGGAGAGGGAGGTACAGATGAGCGCTGTTGTTGTGGTTGTTGTTGTTGTTGTTGTCATTGTCTCTGTTGCCTCTGGCGCTGATGCGATTGCACCTTTCTATCGTTCGCCGGTCGGTGTCTTGTTCACTAGCGTCGCCCTCGCCGCGAAAGAGGGCGCCCTCTCCGCGATACAGGACCGCGCCCGGGTTGAGCGGGAGGACGCGATGGCCAATGCCCGACAGCTAGAGGGCCAGGTGAAGAAGCTGGAAATGGCACTGGAGGCCTCGTACCTGGACGTCACGGCGGGAGAGGCGGCCACCGCCGGGGCGAGGGCGGAGGCGGAGGAGGTGCAGGGGAAACTGGACGCACAGCAGGGGTGTGTGTGTGTGTGTGTGTGTGTGTGTGTGTGTGTGTTGTTGTTTGCATCGACCGCGCTTACAGTCTGACCATTGAAATATTGCAAAACACGAACATTCTTCAACCAAAGGATAAGGATTCTACCGACTGGGGGGATGCAGGAGTTGGACTTCATGGTCCTGCTTCTCGTTCTCCCGTGCGAACATCGTCTCCCTGTACCGGGCTGCCTTCTATTCGAACGCACTTTACGCTAGTATGTGTGGGTATTCAGTGTGTGAATTGTATGGCAGGGATCTTGTTGTTGTTGTGGCAGTGTAAGGAGCTGTTATTACAACCCCTTAGGCAGACCGAGATAGCGGTCGGCAGTGTTTGCGTCTAGAAGGATATTTTTTCTTGTTCTTTGATCTTTCAGAAGGCGAAATATTATTTGAAGTGTTAACAGCGAGGTGTGTGACTGTTTGCGGCCTCACCTCTGGTATTCATTCTTCTTTAGCCGTTGATTGTGTTTCTGTCCCTTGCTTGTAGACTCATAATTTTTTTCCATCTGCATGGGGTGTCTCGACAGCACCTTGCGCGCCAGGTCGCGCTTCGTCGGGGGACCCGCCGAGGCGCCCAACGTCTTTGCCAGCTGCAAGTCTCGGCCTTTCGGCTCTGGCGACTGGCGGCGGTGACAACAACCGCCGACAACCAGAGGCTGTCTTTGGCACTCATGCTGCAGGTGACCCCCTGTTTGCAATATTGATAGCGGCTAGAATGAATTTACGTTTTCTGCATATGGTCCTTCGAAGACAAAATGTTGAATTGACGTTGTAACGGCAAGGTGTGTGACTGATTGGGGCCTCGTTTCGGGCCCTCGCTCTCTCTCGCTCTCTCTTGCCGTTGCTTTTGTTTCTGCCCCTTGGTTGTCCACTGATTGTGTCCCATTCGTGTTTTTTCTGCTTCGGTTGTCTCGAAAGCGCCTTGACCGGCAGCACGCGCTAGGACGAGTGATCCAGCGGGCCGCCCGCTCTCACCAGCCACAGATCTCAGCCTTCTGGCGCTGGAGACTGGCGACGGCGACGGTTACCGCCGCAATCCTGAGGCAGCGGGAACGGGAGGAGAGCATCGGGCGCGGGGCTGCGGTCGCGGAGACCCCCCTCAGGAGGCGTGACGCCAGCGCTGAGCCGGCGACCGCCCGGGTCGAAGAAGAACGCCAGGAACTGCCGAATACCGCAGCAGATTCCGTGGAACACACCAGGGCCACCTAGCCAGCGCTGAGCCGGCGACCGCCCGGGTCGAAGAAGAACGCCAGGAACTGCCGAATACCGCAGCAGATTCCGTGGAACACACCAGGGCCACCTCCACCGCCACCGCCGCCAAAGCCGCGGTGATCACACTTGGCGCCGACCTTTCAACCCAACCCGAGCCAGCGGCGTCAAGGCAGCTGGAGGGCCTGAGGACGGCGGCGCAGGAGGATGCGAAGCAGGTGTGTGGGGAGCGCGTTTGGTACTCGGAGTGGGTGTGTGGAAAGGGGAGCTTCTTTTGTTGTCGTCGTTGTTTAGGGGGGTGCAAGATATGATTGTTATCGAGCGCCTTGGGCAGACATGAACAGGGCATCATTGGCGATCATCCGTGTTAGCCACAGGGGCGGACGCATTTCAGAGGTGCAAGCAAAGCAGGTTGACGTCAAATGAGGATGGTGGCAAACGCGTGCGTGTCTATTGTGAAAACGAAGAGCAATGCTACGCTTCTACACCGCCTGTTGCTTGATGATGCTACGATCAACCTCGATACAACACGGGACTTTGAAGAACAGGGATTTCATAGCTTCCGAATGATATAAAAGTCGGCTTGCAGCTGGACCGGGATACCACCAGAGTGTCTGTCCTTGGGGCAACTTCGTCTTGACAAAGGAAGGAGCATATGCACCTTACACACCTTTCCTCCCCCTCCCCCCTTGTTGCCATGATCTCGGGACTCGCGTGTGTACTTGACGGACGCGACGAAATATACTTGTTTACCTCGGGACTCGTTGGGATACTGTATTTTTTCCCCAGGTGCTGCGCGGGAGGACACCCGAGGGTACTGCTGCTGCTGCTGCTGGTTCTAGTGAAAGTGGTGGTGGCGATGGTGGTGATGGTGAGTTGACCTTTCGTTCTGGAGATGTGCCCCGTGTCTCACGAGACGCGTTGTCCCGTCGAAGGTGTACGAGGAGTTGCAGGTTGAATCGCTTCTACAAACTGGAACGATTTGAAGCTATCGACTGACGTGCTCAGTTTGTTGCACCGTCTAGGAGGCGTTACCTCCGGCGGCGGCGGTGGCGGTGTGTACCGGCAGAACGAAACACCCGTCGCTAACTCCGGGTTCCGGTGTCCCGACAAACATTCAGATCTGTTTTCATCGTTGACAGGCTCCATATTCTTGGTCCCTCCTCTTTTGCAGGACTGAGGCCATCCGCCTTGAGAGACGAGATCTCGGACCGGCTCTCGTCGGCGCCAGCACCCACGTGGTCGCCCGTGTGCCGCGGACACCCGTCCCCCCAAACAGGGGAGACTGGGTTCGCCGCGAGCTCTCGTCGGCGCCAGCACCCACGTGGTCGCCCGTGTGCCGCGGACACCCGTCCCCCCAAACAGGGGAGACTGGGTTCGCCGCGTCCGGGGGCGGAGGCGGGGCCGGCTGTGTGCCGGGTGCCACCCGGCAAACGGAAGGGGGAGAGACGGTGAGTGGAGAAAGCGTTTCCTCACCAGTTGTCACCATGCCTGTTGACGTGGCGGATCAGCGGCCGAACGGGTCACCCTTCGGCCGAGATAGCGCGAGACGGCTGTTCCTAAACGATTCGAAGTTGCAACATGTGGTTGTTGCTGGGGGTGCTTTGTTTGAGGCAGGAACTGATGGGTCGTACATGGCTGGTCGGTGGTGGAGGCTGTAGTCGTTCGGGCGGCGCCTTGCGAACTCCAGGCACCCCTAGGGGGCTGCAATACCCCCCTCCCGCTCTTCTGCTGGCCTGTTACCCTCGATACAACACGCCTCTTTGTAGAACATGGATTTCGTTGCATAGCTTCCGAAGGACATAAGAGTCGGCATGCAGCTGGACCGGGATGCCACCAGCGTGTCTTACCTTGGGGCAACTTCGTCTTGACAAAGGAAGGAGCATATGCACCTCACACACCTTTCCTCCCCCTCGCGCCCTTGTTGCATACCCCCCCCGATGTTTGCCATCGGGGTTGGGTTTTCGTCGCTTGGCAACGACGTTGTAAAACATGCCGCCCCCCCCGGTGTTTGCCATTGGAGCTGGTTATCGTCGCTTGGCAGCGATGTTGTAAAACAAGCCGATCAGTTCGTGAGCTCGACAAAGAGGTTGCCGCTTTTGTTTTCCCTCTGTTTTGGTTTGGGCGGTAACCATAGTGGTGGTCGAGTCGAATATGTTGTGCGGGGTCGAGAACCCTCACTCTGCGCAAAGGGGGGATAATCGCACCACGTTGTGAAAAACTGGCCAAACACCCTCGAGGCAGTCACACAGTGCTTGTAACTGTCTCTGGAAGTGAATCTACCAGAAAATAAATTGAGTCAAAAGCAGCTGTCATCCGTGCGCGAGGAAGTAGGCACAGGATGCCGAACACCCTTAGCAGGATGCAGCTCACCCTTCATACGACTCGCCGAATACCTCACCGTTCTTCGCGCTTGGTGATGTGAGAGCCTAGTCCGGTGAGAACTTGGCGTGCTCATGCACGACGATGAGTACCCCCCCCCGTTCTGCTGCAAGGGCACCGTACCCGCCGTTGACCCATTTGGTAGTTATATCGCATTCCTCGCTGCTTACATCCTCCACCTTGACAGACATGCACGGCGACCCGTTCGTTCTTTGCCGTTTGAAGAACGCTGTGCCGATATCATTCACCAAGTGCCAACTAATGTGGCGATCCGTTCAGGTTGACAGTTTGTACGGCTGAAGGGACGTGTTCCTGTTACATGACGTATATTCCGTTCTGTCTAGTGCTGAAGGAAGGTGTTCCTGGCTGTGTGTTGATGGCATCTGTAGCTTTTCGCTTCGTTTTACAATTTGTGCTTTTGGCCCGCCCCAGCCAACACGGGCGGCTAGGTCGATTCTTCATACCGCCTGTGATTCTTTTGGTTGTCATCAATTAATTGGTCGTTGACTGCTGTTTCATCGGTCTTGCAGGGCGAAGGGTCGGGTGAGGGTGACGCCCGAATTGGGGGAGTACCTACAGCGACGTCGCCGGGACGGGCGGTTGAGGTCCGCGGAGGCGGGGCGAAGGACCAGGAGATGCCGTCGGCAACATCGGCATCCGTGTCTTGCTCGACCCCAACGGGCTGTGGGCGAGCTGGTAATACCGTGCTGGATCCCTGGACGACAGGGGAGACCGGCAGCGGTGGGGTGGCCACCTTTGGAAGCGAAGTGGACGACGTGTGGAGCACAGGTACCCATCAGAGTGGGGGAGC